TAGATAGATAGATAGATAGATAGATAGATAGATAGATAGATAGATAGATAGATAGATAGATAGATAGATAGATAGATAGATAGATAGATAGATAGATAGATAGATAGATAGATAGATAGATAGATAAGAATAAGAAACATACCACTGTCAGGAATACTTAATAGAGATGTGGTCATTAACTAGTTAAAGTTTCTCCTTTTTATACTACTACTGACAATTTCGTGAAAAACCGATAGTGACTTGATCATCTATGTTTTAAAAGGCAATGAGCGTTATATATAGGACAGGTATGCAAATAGGAATATTTATTTTATCGATTAATTGATGTCAGGAAAATCAAAAATGATGTTTGAACTGATCTCAAAGTAAATGTTGTATGCATGCACTAGGCTAGCCCAAACTTTTAAGGACTTTAATGTACAGTGTGATTGCGCGTTGCTTAGAGGTTATGTGTGTTCTTTGATCTATTATTTTAGTATCTTGTGACATATTTGTGAAAGAGAGTATTGAGTATTATTGTTATTGGAGAGTATAGTAATAGAATTTGAAGAATTAGTGCATTAATAAGGATATTTAATATGAGAATAAAGGTTTGTGAAGTAAATATTATTAAACCCCTAGACAGAACGAAGCCATAGAACCTTAATGTAGAATGATGATCGTAACGCGGACCCCGTCTGAGTCACTTCAGTTCAGCTCAATTGTCAGAGATGGGTGAAGTCATGTTGGTACTCTTGGGAATATGGCCGGCTTGAGACATAACAATATTTTGTCTGGTCTTTAAGAAGCTTATAATAAATAATTTAATTTAAAAAGTGTGAACTAAAATGGACTGGATTTTTTTTCAATTTAAATTAGATGGTGCGTTTGAGAAATTGCTATCCTCATAATGCACCTACCCATGTTTGGACTAAATTCTGTTTAGAGCTAAACCCTAAACCAGTGATTTTCACTTCACCACATTCAAAATATATATAAAGGTGGCAATAGAATGAAATAATAGTACATCTAGGTCTTTAAACTCCTGAACGATAACCCAATTATCGTAAACCCTTAAATAGGTAGACTCTAAGGTTGGTAAACTCCAAGGTTCGTAAACCCACGAGTTGGTAAAACCCTTGGTAGCCAAACCCCCGTTGCAAATTAAATGTTCTGGCCACTACGAGGTGCAACGGACTAATAGGGTTAGCGAAATGGCCCCCCGAGCCTGGAGCTAAAGGACATGGCCTACCGCAAAAATACCGAATGACTCTTTGAATGAGCTGATCAGGCGATGCAAAACCTAACCCCTTAGGGGTGGAATCGAAATTTCCAGGTTCTAAGCACAAGATGGCAAGCACAATTAGACATTCTTAAGTGGAGCTGGCATCTCAACCTCTTCCATCTTCGTTAGTGTCTTGGACGAAGTCACAGTGCCTGGTAGCCAATCCCCTCTCTCGCTCACCACCGTCGGGGGGCAGGTCGGTGAGAGACCAAAATTCTACTGGGCGTGGCCATGGGCACCCGCAGAAAACTTTCTAGGGGGGGGGGCCAAAAATCGATTAACTTTCCAGGGGGGGGGGCAAAAAATTTTTGGTCGGTGAGAGACCAAAATTCTACTGGGCGTGGCCATGGGCACCCGCAGAAAACTTTCTAGGGGGGGGGGCCAAAAATCGATTAACTTTCCAGGGGGGGGGGCAAAAAATTTTTAGTAATGTTTTAATGTAGTTTTAATTTACTGTAGCGTATTTGTATGGTGAACGAACGGACAGGACATCAGGTTAGTTACTTTCTCTTTATTTTCTATTCACTTTAATAAGTTTTGTGTCTATTTTTGTCTAAAAAGTTTTTACCAAATCAATCCAGGGGGGGGGGGGCAAAAAGAAGAGGAGATAGCAAAGCTGATACATGAATGGGATGTTGACGGAGCACTCTTCCAAGAAACGCTTTTGAAAAATAAGTCGTTTAACATTACGGGCTACTCCATGTACAACGGCTAATGTAAACAATGCAGAGGGCTGACCACAGAATTCAGAAATGAACTCTTAATGGAATTGATGTAGGCGAAATCGTATCAAGTTACCAACACCCACACAATTAGGGTTTTCAAAAACAAAAATCTTTTATAGTTACAAGAGTTACAAATATTTATAATAAGTCCAACAAAGCCCTACCTATAGAATACAATACTGTCTTTAGAAAGACAGTCTAAGTGTATGACCGTTAAGCATTGCCGTCTATTGTGATAAATTAATCTCTTGTTTTAAGTTATGGCTCGTTCAAACAATGCACAACAGAGGACGATATCATAGAGAAATACAATAGCAAAAATACGACACTCATTACAGTACTAATTACAAATAATACGATTAATTTAAATATT